CCCTTTCCCATGTGGTCATTTTATACTTTCTGTCCTCTGCCCTGACTCACACTTTCCTTCTGTTCCCTTCACTCTAGTTGCTTCTTTGGTGTGCATGGAAGTAACTTAACCATCCAGTTTTGAGTTGGGCACTGCTTGGTTAAACAGTGGAGTCTTTGTTCTTCTTGTTTTTTTCTTTTGGCAGAACTGGGAATTGAACTCAGGCCCTTGCGCTTATTCTACTGAGCCATATCCCCAGCCCCGAGTCTTTCTTATTGACACATTGTCACTGTTTGTGGGGGACACTGGTTTAGCATATTACTACAAATTAAAATAACGTATTTTGTGTTGGATTAATTCTAATGGGGACTTCTTGTGTATAGGTAGGTACTAAGTGGTCCTTTATCCTACAAGTGGCATCACTAAATTCATGAAATCCTAGATGATTAAGCAACAGTGTATCCCAAGGAATACGTGTACAGATTACCAGCAAATGCTCTGAAACTGCATCTAGCATCAGGGAAACATAATAAAGCTGCTGTACACGATTAAAAAAAAAATACTATTTTGTTTATAAAGCACTTAAAAAGAATGTAGTGATATGTTATTGAAGAAGAATCAGACTAGAACATCAAGAACGCTTCCTAGAAGAAGTAACACTAAAGCAAGGTACCATGAGAACCTGGTAAGAGCTACAGAAGTAATGCAAGAGGTAAATAAACCACTGTGAGGTGGTAGGGAATGCTGTACAGCTAAAAGCATTCCAGTATTGACAGAACTAAAATAGTGAAATACAATGCAATGTGAGAAATGAGTTAAGAATCTTAAATCATACACTCTACATACCTTGGCCAGCAGAACAAAAGCTAAAATGGCAGGATCAGGATTTGCAACCAATTCCAGAATACTTCACTTAGCAAAGTGACCACCTGCCCTATTTTCCTTAGATCTTACCTAATTCATGATCATTGTCTCTATTTACAATCATTACCCCTATGAAATTCTCAGATCTGGGAATATCTTACCCTATTTCTTAAGCTATTATGAAACATTTTTTTAATCCAAGAAAAATAGGGTTTCATGAACTACTCTTATGCATTAGTGAAATTAATTGCTGAAAGAGAATAATGCTGATAAAAATTACAAAATTTGATGGGACTATCATCACATTAACATGTAACTCAGTATATACTAAACTCTTTTGCAAAAATACTGTAATTTTTTATAATTAATTTTTTATTATTTTATTTATTTATTTATTTATTTATTTATTTATTTTTTTGGTGGAACCGGGAATTGAACTCAGGCCCTTGCGCTTGCCAGGGAAGCGCTTATTCCACTGAGCTATCTCCCCGGCCCCAATACTGTAATTTTTAAAAAGACCTCAGAAATATCAGAAAGGAAAACTTACTATACTTCTAATTTTACTATGATTCAAAGAAACCACAAACGTAAACATTTTATATATTCCAGAGTCAAAATTCAAACTGTTATGCTGACAAGGATCTACTCACCATTAGCCAAAATAGGTCACTTTTGTTTGCCTAAGTCCTATGAAACATACACCACTATCTTTCCTTCAAAAAATTAAGTACAATACTGATCATAATAACTGTTTATCCTTTCTCATAAACTTACTCGCATGTAAAAAGGCAAACATGGCAGTCATTTGCTTTTCCTAGCTAAGAAATGAAGCTGAGGCAAGTCCCTTACAGGGAATTGTGCACCATCAGGGCTTTCTGGGGAAGATGTCCCTCCTCAATATAGACAGTATATTTTCTGCATTTGACCTATTTTAAACTTTGTCCTTGCATGGAAATGTGCAAAAACACAATTCTGGAGCTCTGTCGATCATTTTACTACCAATAAGGGACACAGCTAAGAGTAAAGTCTGTATCTGGGAAATTCAGAGGAAAAACAGAAAGATCGCAGGTCCTTGTTACACCTCTGAGCAGCTTAAGCAACCTGAATGTCCTTCCTCTAAACTATACATTTTCTGATAAAACAAATGTCTTTATTCTTTAGGCTATTTAAAATTGGATATTTTGTGCCAAGTTTCACAAACACCCTGCATATATATACCTTAACTGCCAACTGAATCAAGGCTAACAGTTAAAAGGGTCACTAAACAGCAGATTCACCTAGATTAGAGGTGATCTAAGAACCAACCCCTATACATTTGGGTCAAAGGGCTACTACAAACATTACCAATGTAATACCCACAGTGATCAGCTGATCAGGCATTTACTGGAATAGAATGGACACCTCAGCCATGGCTTTCTTGCCTATGCTTCTGTATGCAAATAATGTCTTAAAAACTTGACATTACGCTTTTATAAAATTTGGTGCTTTCACTGATTTATACTCCTACCAATTGTCCTAGGAATTTTAATAGAATTCTACTAAAAGTTTTGGGGTAAAGCTGGCTCACTGTAATACCACATGGAGTAGAACCTGCTTCATTCCCACTATTGGCTTTCTCATGTTCTTGGAAATGCTATAAATTAATTTCCTAATTTTATTAGACACAAAAATTGAGTAAATATCTTGTGTTGCTTGAGAATGTACTGGAAGGCCTCACTCACCCTCAATAAGCCTATGAAAGTATCTCTTATCAATATCTAAGAGACTTTCCCAAAGGAACCTAAAGAAATAAAAATTTCTTCTCAAAGATAAATATGGGTGATAAGATAGGATTTTCGTACTAAGAGTGTATAGTCATAGAGTACCTACTAAGAATGTGTAAGGCCCTGGGTTTGAACTCGAGTACCACAAAAATCAATCAATACAATGTATAATTGCATAAACAAATCTCAAAAAAAGTAAAAGAAAAAATTAAATACCTGAAAAGAATCTGAGTCTTCATTTTCTCAGGTGATAAAAAGATAATGGTCAAAATTAATACATATAAGGGGCCGGGGAGATGGCTGAGTGGAATAAGCGCTTCCCTGGCAAGTGCAAGGACCTAAGTTCAATCCCTGGTTCCACATACACACACATACAAAAAAAAAACCCCTAATACATACTATTTTACACTATATTTGATAAAGATTACCTCAGTTAACTTCAATTTTAGGAAATATTCATGTTATAGCGAAGTCTATTTAAATTTAGAAAAATCAAGTCATTTGTCAAGGCCACACTGCTCAATAACGCTACAAGGATTGACAATTCACATTACTTGACTAAAAGCCTAAGTACCTACCTAGTCTTTTAAGTATAGGTGAAGATAATGTGCAATTAAATATCTATTATTTTTCTATGAAAAAGAGATTGAAAACCTCCATTGAGTAAGTCAGTGATTCAGTTGCTGGAACACCAACCACACCTTCACAACTCGAAGAAGAGTTTTAATTTGTTTCATGGCCTTGAGTACTCACGCTGGCTCCAAGCAGAAATATATCACAGTGGAAGCACATTAGAGGGCAAAGCTGCTCAGTTCAAAGCAACCAGCAAGTACAGCAAATAATCAAGGCCAGACGAAGGCTGGGGACTTCTTATCCTATCGTTTGCCACACCTCCACAACCCACTTAAGTAAGACACACATAGAAGCATGCTTTATTAATATACCAGGCATTTTTTAATCCAATGAAGCTGACAAATCAGGATTAATCGTCTCACATCATGAAATGTACAAGGAGGAAAAAAAACTTAAGGACTATGGTGATAATTTTGAGTAGCCACTATTATTTTGCAAGGGCAAAGACTTCCTCAGCTTAAATATACAGAAATCAAGGCTCACATAAAGGAAATTATTACAAGATGCAGTGCAGTATCAGAGTCAGTAATACAACTCAACTTACTCGCACTTCTGACTTCCAGGCCAGGGCCTTTTCATTTCCCTCTGTACTGTTTTCCCTTAAAGTAGCGTATCTTATCTCAATGTAGGCAGAGAAAGAAAGCAAAATGTAAAGAAAAATTACGAATGCTTACTAAGTGGGATTTATCACAGTTTCATGATCCGCAGTTTTACCTTCCAAAGTTGTGATTACCTATATTCAGTTGTGGTCCAAAAATATTAACATTAGTCTTAACACTTTAAAAGAGACCAAAGAACTTGTATTGCAGTATCATTTTATATTTCCTTTATTATATTAATACTATTAATTTCTTGTTGAGCCTAATTTATAAAATAAACTATCATAATGCATATAGGAAAAATCAGTGTGTGTATGTACATATGTATACAATACAATATTATCTGCTATTTCAGGTATTCACTGAGGAGCTCAGAATGTATTCCCTAGGGATAAGCAGAGAATAATACATGGAGTGGAACTCCAGTGTTCAGTATTTATTAGATGACAACCATTAATATCAACAAAGAGACAACAAAAACGCCTATGGTTTGTGTATATACAGTAACAAAAAATAAAATTAATGAAAAAATTTCAAGATAGCTGTACTTCCATGTTAAATTTTGAAGGATGAGGTTTTCTTGGAAAGTGGACACACAGTAATGGTAGTGTTGAGTGTACAATGACTATAACTAAATGTTCCATAAAACAAATTTTCAGAAAATAATCTTAAAACTAAAGAGACTAACTGTAGTATATATTACATTTTTCTACAGCAAAATGGCTCAACTAAAAATTCAACATTTTTTTTAAACAGATCCGGGGATTGAACTTAGACCCTTGCGCTTTCCAGGGAAGCGCTTATTCTACTGAGCCATCTTGCCAGCCCTCAACTAAAAATTACTACTGATTTCTCCTAACAATTCATGATTGTAGGACAGACTAGATTGCTAAATATTAACTCTGAATTTTTTGGACAATACTGTATCTGTATTCAAAAGAAAAAATGGTAATGGAGAATATTAATGTAAGACACCAAAAGCCAAAGAGTACGAAGATCTAGAACTGTAAAATTCAGTATTTGAACTCCCAATAACTACTTATTCGCTTTAGTAAGAACAATTTTCATTAATTAACGTAATACATGGATTCACTCAGTAATAATGATTTCATAAAATGGCATATCTTTTTTAGGATAAAGCTAAAACACAGAACTGGCTTACTCTGCAATATCGAGATATCCACAGGAAGCAGCTGCATGGAGTGGTATCCAGCCTTCATTATCAGGTTGATTAATATTTGCTCCATTTTCTACCAGAAACTTCACCATATCAACATTGTCATCAATGCAAGCCTGAAAACAAAATAGAAAGCATGACTGGAAAAAATTTGAATCATTACTCCAAATAAAACCTGCTTTACAGATGTGTAAAATATATTCTCAAAGAACATATATTCTCTATAAATCAATCTGTAACTCTTGATTTCCCAGCTGTCAAACAGGTCAGACCTACTCAATTGCTTACAAATACATACAAAAGTGTGCATATGACTATTTTCTTTATGGCAACTCTCTCTCTCTCTCTCTCTCTCTCTCTCTCTCTCTCTCTATATATATATATATATATATATCTCAAAATATTACAATTAAATACGAGTAATATCCTCTTTAGCAACTGTTCCAAAGTGTGATCTGCTGGACTTTTGGGGGGGATGGTGGCAGAATATCTTTTCAAGGCATTAAGAAGATTAAAACTATATTCAAAATGACACTAAGATGCTATTTCCCCCTTTTCACTTTGCTGACTTGTATACTTGACAATACAAAAAATGCACACACCTTAGCACAAATCAAGGCAGTGACAAAACTAAACAAACACTTCTATTAACAGTTACTGTACAGGGTACAATGCAGAAATTTTAAAAGCTATTTCCACTAATGAAAATTATGAGTTATCAAATCTTGACTGTTGAGAATATATCTTTTTAATATTATATGAAACATGGGAAGTGTACATTAAAGTAAATGACAGCTATCTTGAGGAAAAGCACTTATGCAACTGGGTTGCAATATTGAGCTGGATACTTTCTATAGAATATTACTTTTATTTAAATGAATTATGGTGAGTGATTTTTTTGGCAGACATTTTCTTGAAAGTAAACTTAATAAGTCTGTTGTGTCAAAAAAAAGTAACTAACATCAATATACAACATGCAAATAACAGCTGTTAGCAATGAGAAATTCAAGCTTTCAATTGGAAATGAATTAGTCATTTAAGAAATCTTAAACTAATAAAAATTAAATAAAATAAAAAGTTTAATTTCACAGTTTTAACATAACACAAAGCTCATCTGGGAGCTTCAATAATTTTTAAGAGTATAATAAACAGATCCTAAGATAAAAATATTTTTAGAGATATACTCCTATATTAAATAAAAATATAGGAGTATATTTTTAGGGAGAACGTTTATCAATATTTTGTGTCAGATAATGACAAGTACTTTATCAATTTTATAAATTATTGTCCTCACAAAAACCCCTAACTTCTCATTGTTCTCGATAGTTGTTCCTAAGGTCACTAAATTCTAGGCAAAAAAGCTCCTTTCTATTCCTTGACCAGTTATCTGAGGCCTTTGTCCTTGTTTTCCCTGGCAGGAATACTCTGTCCCAGAGGTAGGAATGCTAATTAGCTTTTCATCACACAAGTCTTAATGTTTCTTTCTCAGAAAAGGCTCTTTTTGACATCATTTAAAAGTAATTTTTATTAATTTACCAATAATATCAATACCCATAATTATCTTATTTGTATTTATTTTTATTTCAAGCAGAATGTAAACTCTACAGAGAAGGAACTTTTGTCTTATACACTTATAATCCAAATCAAACCTAGCGGGCCTGTCATACCAGAAAAATATCTATAAAACTATATTTTTCAAATGTATTTTGACTATTCTTACATAAGTAGTATATTTTATCAAGTAGCTTGACTTTCTTGCTTTTTTTTTTTTTTTTTTTGCGGAACTGGGGATTGAACTCAGATCCTTGTGCTTGCCAGGGAAGTGCTTATTCTACTGAGCCATCTCCCTGGCCCTGTTCTTTACATTTATCAGCTTTTGGGTCTTAACTCATTTTCATTCACAACAATGAATGAAATGCCTGTGCTGCAAGAACAAGCATGCACAAATTCTTCCCATCCTTCAAGGTTTATCCTGCAATATAACCTTATCCAATAAGCTGTGCATCCAACTAGAATATCTGTAATTGGCATATTCTGGCATGTCACAGTGGCCAATATTTTCCACTATATTATGACTATTTACATCTAAACATATTTGTATCTTTAGTGGTGCAGTCATGGCTGCCTCAATGTCCTAAGTAAAAAAAAAAATAAAAAAAAATACTTTTTTGGGTTATTTTGACTTTGGAGAACAGTGAGAAGATTCATGATGCCATCCCCACTGACTAAGGTGGATGAGAACACACCATAACATTTTGACAAACTTGTCTTTCTGCTGTATAGCACTCAGCAGCAACGTTCACCATATATTCTTTAAAATCATACCTCATAAAAATACAAAACATGCCTTCCACAAGAGCTTCAGGAAGTGGCAAAAATGACAGGGTAAGTGTATATGAACCAATAGGGAGTATTTTGAGCAGAATTATTAGCAATGGGTCCTTCACTGTAATGCATTTTTAAACTTAAGTACTCAAATATATTTTGATCACCCCTTGTACATTATGGTTATTGATTTGTAAAACATACCTTTTAAGTACAGTTCTCTAAATAAAACTATTGTTAAGTGTATTACTTGATAAATACAATAAAAACACTTCACACTGTGAGATAGGTTGAATTTATTGATATATACTCATTTTATTCCTGAGAGGCTTGATCATTATAATACAGTCCTTCAGCAGATAACATCCCCATTTATTCTCAGAACCCCTGCCTAAGAATCTGAGGGCTGTGTCATGCACGAAGTATGTAATTTGGGGAAGCTGGATGAAATCTACTCATGGAGTCAGTTTGTTCCCTTTCTAATTGATACAAAAATCTTCATTTCGTCAGACGGCCAAGTGACTTTTCTTCTAATTTGGGTTAAAGGGAGTAAATAAACTTGATCAGCAATATTTATTTTTTTAAATCTATAGGACCATGAGCTCACAGCTATCTCCTTTGAATTTTTACAAAGGTTGTTCTAATATAATTAATAGATATTTATACTCTCTTAATTTCCAAGAGATCTTTGTTGGAAAAGTATGCTGCTCATTTTAATGTACTTAGAAAAATCAAGTTCATTAAGAATCCAGAAAGGTATTTTTAAGTAACTACAAGAAATAATAAAGATGTGTGTGTGTGTGAGTCATAAAAAAAAGTGGTCCTGGCAGATTTTGCTACATATACAACATTATTTGCATTTATCGATCTATCTATCTCTTTAAAAAAGGCTTAAAACTTATACTTTAACACCTGGCCAGTTTTTAAGCAGCAATTTTATGTTTCTGTTCAGGAAAAGAAACTATTTTCTTTCTGTGTGTGAAAATACAACATCAACAAAAATAGGAATGGTAGAAATAAAAAGCACAAGTGGTAGAGAAAACACAAAAGTCACAAAAGAATATTTTCAATTAGGAAGTGTGAAGCTGGCTGATCACATAAAATGAATTGGCACTGTAACAGAAGCAATGCATAAATGAGTTAGTTCTGCCTATATCTCCATTTTGCAAATGAAGTCTTTGCCTAAATGGCAGCTTTGTGCAAAAGCTTTGCTTGGCCACTATATATTAAAACTACAAACCTTCCACCATTTTCCCCACACTACTTATTACCATAACATACTACACACAGTATTTCTGCTTATTTATCTGTTTACTATCTATTTGCATGAAGGTCTGATAAGAACAATTCTTGGCACTGGACAAGTAAGTAACTTAATGATTTGGGGCTTTAGTACCTTTTCTTTCAAATGTAGAGAATACTGTATCATTAAAATTCCCTTTCATAGTAGGTGTGGTACCACATGCCTGTAACACCAGTACACAGGAGACTGAGGCATAAGGATCTGACTTAGAGGCCAGCTTAGGCTACTTAGCAAGTTCAAGGCCAGCCTAGACTAAATAGCTATTACCCTATGTCAAAAAACAACAAACAAACAAAATTTCCTTTCACTTTAAAAATATTATGTGTAAGGACCGGGGATATAGCTAAATAGAATAAGCACTTGCCTGGCAAGCACAGAGTCTTCAGTTTAATCCCCGATATTGCAAAAAAAACAACAACAAAAAGAAAACTTACGTGTAGGGCCAACAACATAGGACATAGCTCAGTGGAATAAAGGCCTGATTTGCAGGGACCACGGTTTGATCCCCGGTCCCCAGTGCTGGCCAGCCCTACCCCCAAGGTATGCTGAGCTGGCAACCCAGTCCCATTGGACATGGTGGCACACATCTATAACCCCAGCACTGAGGAGGCTGAAAATGGGAGGAACACTATGAATCCATGCTGTATAGTGAAACCCTGTATCAAATACATAAAATGAAAAAAAAAAAAATCTTACATGTCCATGATTCTTCTGTGCATGATTCTTTCTGCACTAACAAGTTTTAACTGTATGGCACAGTCTCTAAGTGCCAGAACATAACTGATACATAGGGGAAGATGAGAAATGAATATGTAAGCAGCATTACATATTGCTTGACAAAAGAACTTTTTGTTTTTACCAGAACACTAGTTAAAAACATGAAGTTTATGGACCGGGGAGATGGCTCAGTAGAATAAGCGCTTCCCTGGCAAGTGCAAGGGTCTGAGTTCAATCCTCGGTTCCACAAAAAAATAAAATTAAAAAAATAAAATAAAAAGATGAAGTTTAGAAGAGTTCTGAGAACCACAGCCACATAACAACAGAAATCTAATTCTATTACTGTATTAAGAAGTAGTTTACAAAAATGACATCTGATTTGATGCTGACTCAAAGTGATTTAATATAGTAGTAGACCTAGTTTTAAGAATAATTAATTTTCCTTAAGTCGCTGATTAAGTTTTATTTTTTTCTTAACCTTCTATTTCTCATACCTATCAAAATAATATCCTGATTTTTCTCAATATAAAATTTTACTCAATAAATATACAATAAATGTATGCAATACAAAAATGTGTATAAAAGAGATTATTTTTTAAAGAAAAATATAGAAGTAAGCAAAATATCTTTATAAAAGATTATCCTACATTCCACTCCATCAGTAACTGTGGCTAACTTCACTAATAGGGATAGGGAGAAAACATTTTAGAACTTCAAGACTATATTTAAAGAAATGCTATTCAATTTTTAGGCAGAGGGATGATATCATCA